AACGGCTTATGTGCACGAGATGGTATGCACATGCAGATGCTACCAAGGCAATACGGTGTGGGTATTCAGCGATCAAGAAAGCACTGGAAGAACTAATAGATGACACAAAGCAGAAGCCAGAGTGTCGTTTCGAAGCAACCGGTCTAGTAACCAGCATGGAGAATCTGGAAACTGGGATCATGGCTTCACTCTGGGATGAAGTTCTCCAGCGTTTCAACACCATAAACGTTATGCTCCAAGATCCAAAGATCGACCTTAACTCTGCCATTTGCCTCTTTGATAGTCTAATAGAATTCACTGGCTCTCAACGTGCAAGATTCACCTTCTTCGAACAGAAGGGTCAAGAGCTAACTGGAAGCAATGAGTATCCCGAGGGAACGGGACAAAAACGGAAACGAAATACTCATATGGATACCTATGTTCTTTATCATGATGCTCCTGGAACAACTGAAAATAGTAAAGTGGAAACGCCATCGGATCGTTTTCGTGTTGACAGTTTCCTGCCTGTCATAGACAAACTACAGTTGGCCCTGACAAAGCGCCGTGCAGCCTATTCAACCATCAGTGGAAAATTTGGGTTCCTTCGAAGGCTAACTAGCATTTCTGCGGAAGAAATGGACAAGTATGCAAAGGTATTGGTGGATAGTTATCCAAGTGACCTTGAACCTGAGCTCTCCAGTGAACTCCTCTTCTTTTCCTCCATTCTGAAGTCAGATTTTGCATCTGAAGGTGACTACCTGTCCTCCAAGCAAAATGACGCTCCAGAGATTTGGATGCATCGCGTGATGATGGGCAACCCAGCACTTCAAAATTCTCTTCCAAACGTTGGCACCATGCTCTCAATATTCTTATCTCTGATGATGACTAACTGCAGTGGTGAGAGATCATTCAGTGTTCTCAGGAGAGTAAAAAACTACCTGCGCGCCAGCATGGGACAACATCGAATGTCGAATCTGTCACTCCTGAGCATTGTACATGGTATGATGGACTTGTTAGATATGGATGAACTCATCTCGTGCTTTGCTACACTTAAATCTCGAAAAGTATCTCTGTAAAAATGCTTCTGTAAACAAATTGTGCTTAGTATTAAAAAAGTCATATTAAAATAATAAAATGTTGAAAGTATATATTCTTGCTTATGGGAAGGGTGGGATGGGCGGCCCAAACATATGATATGCTCTCGGCCCAGGCAACTGTTAATCCGGCGCTGCCTGTGTCCTCTGATATGTACGTGTGCAGTAGCATAGCATGTTTTTATTTGGTAATTCCATGTGTTCCCTGGTGGTCATTGGGTGGATGAAGCCAGGAGGATTATGCCTTCCTGAACCACGGATGAAACTTTTTAGGTAACGCTTATATAAGGCGCTCCATGGCATACACGCACCTATGATATTTAACTACATCCACTCAGGAAACGCAGCTGTTCCATCCTTCATTACAATAACCTAGTATTTATATATAAATGCTTTCATCCATGGCCGTCACTAACCTTACTACATACACAACTATTATTTTCATTATGCTTAAAAATGTATACGACTGCGTCGTGCCAGGTCATCACTAACCAGAGCGCGTACAGCTGTTCCTTCCGATATAATAATATTTAACGGCTACATAATATCACGTCACACACATCAGGTCAGCACTGTTGCCTACTCCCCTGACATTGCCCGGTGAGTGCGTTTATCACTGACTTTTTTTTAGATTAAGGCTATAATAGTTGTAGTTACATATATGTCTCGTATTTTATATTGTATTTCGAGATATGTTCTTGGTTTATGTTTAGTTTACTGATGATGTCGTATATACCTATGACGTTACTGATGATATAGTTTGTATGGTTTTTGTGATGATCTTGCACCAGACTTTCATGTTACACGGTTTGTTAACAGGACTCGTGTTAGAATGGGATAAAGATAACCGCTTACTCTCCCCTCCTAACGCACATCGCTCGCCCCTTACTTTCATACAATCCTTCACTGATATGTATGTAAATAGAAGTAAATCTATTCAGATGAATAATTGAATGTCGTGATAGAGAAAGTGGGTACAAGAAAGAATGTAGCGTAGCTACGTGCATCTGCACCTTTCTCACTCGGTGTGATGTGACATCGATGAGAATAGCACATTGGAAGTTGTTCACGCCGCAGTCAGTGTTGTGTAGTATTGTTGAGGTAAAATAAGACCATTTTTGGACATGGTGTGGCGGTAAAAAGAAGGAAACAGAATACTAGCGATACTCAGATCGAGTGGGAGAGATCACAAGCGCGTAGCCAGGGGGGGGTCCTGGGGGCATTAAGAACCCCCCAATCAAAATCAAAATCCAAATTTTTTTCTCTTCATTTTCTTGATTTTAAAGCACTATTTTTTACATTTAACTCAAAAAGGACCCCCTTGTTACTCGCTCGAGGACCACCCCAATCCAAATTCCTGGCTACGCCCTTGAGAGCGACAGTGTCAATGGACAACCCACACAGCAGCTACCTGCCACACTTAAGCTGGGTTTACACAGCCAACTTTGTGTTGGCGAATTGGCGAATTTGACCAGACTTCCCAACGTTCTATCAACCGTTGTATGAACTGTGCAGCGCGTTTACACGGAAGACTGCGAGTTGGCGAGCGAGCGCCCGCGTGGGGCAATGGATATAGGGATTATTGCATGTATAAATTCGCGAGGTACCGCACGTACAGGCGCAAAGAATCGTGCACAGTCACAGAGTCAGGATGCCACGAGGGCAGTGGATTACCGGAGGGGTGGCCCATTGGATTTGTCCATGCTCGTACTGCCGACTTCTTCCTCATGTGCACGTGCGCGTGTACGTGCGCGCACGCGTGTACCTTCCCACCGTGTACGTGAGTGTACGTATCTGCCGTACACAGATGGACATGACCACACGCGTGCATGTATACGCACATACATGCGTGCGTATATACACACATGCGCGCACGTACACGCGTGCGTGCACATACAGTGTGTTTGAGTTTATTCTTATCATTCGCTTTTTATTCTTTTAATGTTGCTATCTTAAGCGTCACTAATCGATACCGGTAATTTAGGATATTTACAAGGCCTGTGTGATTAGTTCCTAGAAGCGTAATTGTTACGTTTTTAAATACAAAACTGAAGTAATTTCTTGAAATTGTCTACATATACATTTTAATACGTATTAAATTAAAACAGATAACACGATCGAGCAGGTATAGAAATGGTACGGCCGGGAGCAGTTGTACTCGTAGCGTGTACCTTGATTCAATGCGCACACGCTAATGAGGCAATGAACAGAGGTGCGTATTATTTACTAGCGTTGTATAATTAATAGCACTACGGTGAGGGACATATTCAGAGTTCATCGTCTGACTGAGAGTACTTCTGATGAATTTGCAACTAACATACCATTGATGAGTAGCTAATAAATCGCATTTAGGTTGAATGAGAAAATAGACTGAAGAGATCATTTATCATTATTATTTAATACGTGTTTTTAAATGTACTTGCTCCGCTGTGCCCATTTCTGGTGGTTACGCCAGTAACATGCCATGAACAATCTAGATTATTATCTGGTTGTATGTTGTGGCAACTGTGGTAATGACGATGTGGTAATATACTTTCAGATAACCGGAAAAGTAACCCTGGGCGCGGACGCATTATAAGACTAGAGAAGCTACAATCGGATAACTTAGAGAGTCCGTTAGAAAACAGACGCCAAAAAGCTCGGAATGGAAACCCAATGAATGACAAGGCAAGGCAAAATACATTTAGAAATATATAGCAATGGAACAGCGTCAATTTAAAGGTAGTAATTTTTAAAATAAAGGACGTCAAATTTTAGGACGTAAATCTAATCAATAGCGGTAAATATTGTATAAGAAATGACAGCTGAAAGAAATAATGATGTTCAATGAGATTTATTGTCGGGCGCTGAGATTATGAGGGGGCTTTAATCCCCCCCCCACACACAGAGACAGTCAGACAGACACACACACACACACACACACACACACACACACACACACACACAACACACACATACACACACACATACAACACACACACACACACACACACACACACACACACACACACACACACACACACACACACACACCACACCCACACATCGTCCACCTCCCTCCGGTACCTGCTTCAAACGTCCGCACGCGCTTCTTGACGTTTGGCCCTTTCCCAATACTATTCTTACTGTGCTGTAACATTAATATTTTATCTGCCAATAAGTATATCTTTATTTGAACAAATTCAACATCATCGTGTCTACATTATACACGCTTTGTTATAGAAAACATGCTATCTAAGATCATTTATCTACAGAATATCATAATTTACTGTCTTTAAATTTGTTCATAAGCTGCTAGCTTTACTAATCTTCACTGTTCAGACTGTGAAATTCTTTGTGCCAAAACGATATAGGTATTGTAGTTGGTAGAGTTGTTACTCAAGACAGTAAGATATAGGTGCAGGTTTTGATAAAACACGTGTCTCGGTTTTTTACACAGGACAGGCAACGGGGTCGAAGTGCCGAGGAATATCATCAGGAAACAGTCATGTACTACGATATAATGGTCGACTTTCGAAGGAACGCTGGACTGCCGGTACTTGATGCCTAAAGCCACATATAGCCGAGCTATTATTATACAACGCAATATAGCGTACTATTTTAAGGACTCTGGTACCAGCGGAAACGCATACTGATTTAATATACTAAATATGCTACCAATATACTAATATTAAAGATTACGGGGGTAATGTTAACGACCGTACGTACCTCACGATTAGTTTTAGTGCATTATGTTTATCACGCGCGAGGAGAATCGCTGGTAAGAGGTACGTGTAGGCCTACTGTAATACTATATAATTATTAGGAGGATATGCCCATGGAAGAATGGGATGGCTTGATAGAGGGAGACATAGTGCCAACCATGAACGACCTCAGAGAGCTGCGTGACGAGATTAGAAAACCTCATAGGAGAAAGCGGAAAATGACTGCGAACACGAATAATTATTGGACTTCTCCCATCCAGTACATCATTGATGCCGCCATGCGTGAGCTAGTGTTATTTTATACATTATGTTTAATGGGAAAGATGAGGTGTGACTAGGGAAACCGAGACGGAGCGAGAAGGTGCGATAAGCTGAGCTGAGATGAGCTGACATATAATATAAAATAAGATTAGATGAGATGAGACAAGGTGACAAGGGCGATATAAGCTCAATTGATGACAAATGATTGAGCAAACATATTGGGATGGTAGTTATAGACGTCGCGATTTTATTTACGTTGTGGACAGCTGAATCCCACGTGGCTGCCATTCGGAGTGCAATTACCGAGTGGGAATCGCTGACATGTCTTCGCTTCCAACAAACATCGACACCGGTTGGGAACTACTTGCAAATAATTTACGGAAATGGGTAAGATACTGTTATTCATTACTGAGAGCATGATGAACGCGACCATTTGACAAGGATTGAACGCGGAAATAGAGGCGCAAATACTATAAGTACTTGTTTCACGTGCATTGTATGGAGAAGCCGTATATATGTAATAATATGAATGAAGTGGACAGTTACTCGAATTCCACATGTACAGTTGCATAATTTTAACTGTCCTATGGGGCATCAATATGTACAACGAATAATATATATGCATCGATTCAACGCCATAAATTCCATCGATATTCTGAGTCAGTATTGTAAGTAATTCGTTGTATGGCTGGTTGAGCTTGTTTGATGCTGTCATTTATGCTGTGCTTGGTTATTTGATAATGTATATAGGTGTTGGTCCTTCCTGGGAATGCAGCAGGGCGGACAGCTCCTCTCTCTCGGCATGGGATGTGGCTGGGTATGCCGAGGCTTGCAAACTATCAGACCTATATATTCTTATAGATTTGTAAATAATAGAGTTGCACAATTGTAAATGTAGTCCATGAATTGGCGTGTTTTGTAAACGACACGTTAATCACGGAATGCAAACTTTATTTGGGCATATCAAGTTGTATTATAGCTGTACGCATATGGGACATACCTACGAATTTACAAGTAGGCTAATCATTCCTAAAATTCCGACACAGATACATTCGCGGATGAATCTTCTATGGTGTATATTTGTAAAGTTTGTGGTGCAATAGTTTTACATTAAAAGTAGGTACTAACGGGACTAAATGCATGTATCCTCAATTTGTTACCTGATAAGATTGTTTCTCAACTAGTTAAAAATACAAAAAACCTGGGCGATTTGATATTTTGATCACGACATTAAATGCTTGCTATGGGCTATGTTAGACCGAATAATTCTGTCCCATATAACCTTTTTCATATTTTGGTGAGGGTTATTGGAGGAGGGTCCAATTACCTTCACCAAAATATGAAAAAGGTTATATGGGACAGAATTATTCGGTCTATGGGCTATGTATGAGTAACGAGTGTTTGTTCACATCGAACGGAATAGAAAAATAGGAAGTATAATACAGCAAGTTAACCATAACAATTTTACAGAATCACTTACATTACATTTTGTGAAAAAGTGGACATAATTTTTTTTACTTTTACAATTTACGGTGACGTAATTACTTCAACATCCAAAAGCACAGCACATATAAAGAAAAAATATAACTGCTCGTTGTGGTGACAATACTATTTTACCTAAGAATCAACATGTTCTTGCATTTGTTTTCGCGGCTGTTTCTGGCATATACATGCGAACCCCACTATGCTGTGTAAACATCTTGAACTATTAAATTTCCCAAATTGCGCAGTCTGCAAATTCAGTATCTTGGGCGTGTGTGATTTTCATTTTGTTTCGAATATATATTATAGCAAATAAAACTAGATATTCAAATGAAATTTACAATCGAATTCACACTGCCAATTTACATTAGGCCCCCTACATAAAACCTTACTTATGGTCATTACAGCACGGCGTGGCGATCCACGAACTTGCACACGCCATCGGTTTCCATCACGAGCAGAGCCGATCTGATCGAGATGAACACATTACGGTTCATTATGAAAACATCATAGCCGGAAGAGAACCGAACTTTCTCAAAAAGAACGAATCAAAATTGGCATTCATCGACGATGTACCGTACGACCTCGGTTCTAATATGCACTACGGAAAACGGGTACGTTATGCACTAACTACTTTTGTTTTGTTTTCTCACAGTTCTCTTTTTTATTATTGATTTATAGGCCTCTTACATTTCTGTTCTGGTTATAACCGTCCATTTATCGCTTTCAATTTTGGTTCACTACGGTTGCTCTCGTTCTTCGTAGCATAGTGATGAATAATAGTCACTACGCAATATTGTGACCAATAAATCTTCCCCTTTCCACAGGCATTTGTAAACGGTTCAGACCTGGATTTACTAACAATTGAGACAGTGATTCCGGAATATAAGAATAGGATAGGAGATCAAAGCGGACTGTCGTTCTATGATGCGCTAACAGCTAACCTCGCATACTGTAACGGAGATGGTTCGTATATCACATACGCTTTTTGTCCACATTTTTATACAGACGTTATTATGGCTTTTGCGTATATATGGTTGAAACCACAATTATTGTTATTATATGATAGGTTTATAACGTCTGGTGCCCAGTGGCGGCACCAGGATTGTAAAAGTAAGTGGGGTAAGCTGAGGGCAAGGAAAACTGTTGGGGGTCAATATGTTGTATTCGCGTAACGCCAATTCGAGCGTGTAGCACGAGAACCAATGGGTGGGGTACAGGGGCCGGTCTTACGGCACTTGGTGGGTGGGGGTGCAGGGGGCAAAGCCCCCGGAAGCTCTAAACCTTTAGCATTTTTGAGGTAAAAAATCAAGCCTCTGTATGCCCTAAACAGAGAAATAAATAGTACCGGCATCGCAGATAGCAGCGGTACCGCGTATCCCCCAGTCAGCGTATGGGGTAGAACAGTCTTTCAGAGTTATCCCCCAGACGTCTAGTTACATACTTTATATGAGGTCCGAAAAAAGACTCCAACAATCAAGAGCGGGGTAGACGATTTATTTGTGAACAAACAAACAAAAACCTAGGGAGCCAAGTACATGATCGGGCTAGATCATGCCACCTTAGAAATGACCACGCCAACTTCGCGGGCAACAAACTGCCCTGGGTCACACGATAACCTCGTAGATGTTGACCGATAGAAATTACAGAATGCTTCCTTCTGCTCTCTATCTGATCCAGCATAGTGGCCTCGTGCTGCCATCTGTTTTCTGTAGTGCTGCCGTCTAGCTTTTCTCTCCTTTCGCCACTCGAGGACAGCACCAAACAATCACAACAACCCTGTGACAATTCGGCATGTCACATCTTCCCCATTTTTTCCCAGGATTGCACTCACAATCATTACACTTATTGGATCGAACCGCTCAATGACTGAGCAAGGGCCGCTGCAATATTTGTCATGCCCTGAAGGATTTCACCTATTGGCACCGGCTAACATCTGGACCAATAACAGCTGGGTCTCGCTGATATTAGCCTATACCTGGGGACAAGGACGACCTTGTGACCTTTTCACTTTAGACCTGCGAGTCTCGTGCTTGAGGACAGATTTGGGGAGGTGGTGGAGGTTAGAATGGTTCCCCGCATTTGCGCGTTCTGTCTTGCGTGAACCATTATCCTTGGAGTTGGACTCCGAACTCCCCTCCTCGCTGCTGTCTGCCTCACTGTTGGATGGGTGGCCTTCCTGAGGGATATCCTCGGTTTCTGATTCCGCCGACTCCATGGCGTCTTCACCGGTCAGGTTGCCATCGGTGGTGTCGACTTCCCGTGGGTGGCAAACCCCGAAGTGGCCTTCATGAGTCCTCATTGTCAAATGTGTCGGATCTGTAATTGACTGTCCGCACCTGTAGGCTTCCACTGGAGCCCGGACCCTTGCCATGCAAGTCCGAGACCAGTTCCCGGGAGTCTAACAGCTGGTTGCAATGCAGCGCCTTGGTCACGCCTGGATTCTCCAGCGACCTGACGTTGTAGACAGGGCCTTCAGAGTCGGGCGGCCCAACCACTTGGCGTGGCTCCGGGTTCCAGACGTCCTGGATTTTGTGTCTACCCTTGTATCCCTGGTTCTTCAGGAAGACCCTTCCCCCAATTTGGATACTGGTATCCCGGGCCTTCTTATTTGTCCAGGACTGTCGTCGAAGTGCCTTTTCCTCCGTTCGTCTAAATGCCTGTTTGCGGGTCGCCTCGAGACGCTCGTAGTGGTCGGCCACCTACTGACTGACGTCACCTCTCCCATTTTCATCCTTGGCCTCTCCTAAGAGGTGGTCGATTGGGAGTTTTGGCTCCCGTCCAAAGAAGAGGAAATAATGGGAGAACCCTGTCGTAGCGTGAGGTGTGTAGTTGTAGGCATATACCAAGCCTGACAGGTATTCTGGCCACCGCCTTTTTTTCGAGGCTCGAGTGTCCTCAACAAGTCATGCATTGTCCAGTTGAATCGTTTGCACTGTCCATTTCCATCAGGATGGTAAGGAGTTGTGCGATTCTTGGACACCCCATATAACGTGCACAGCTCCCGAACGATTTGGCTCTCAAAATTGCGTCCCTGGTCACTGTGCAGTATCCTAGGCACTCGAAACCGGACAAACCAATGGTCTACCAGTGTCTTAGCCACCGTGTTAGCCTTCTAGCCTTTTAGCCTTCGGCTATGGCATGCGTGTACTTGGTGAACACATCGGTCATCACCAATACGTCCTCCTTACCTCCTAGACCAGGCTCCAAGACTGAAGTCAATCGCCACTACTTCCTGTGGTCGACTTGCTATCAGGCTTTCCATGGCTGTTTGGGGTCGCTTCCCAGCTTTTGCCAAAGTGCAACGTTGGCACTTCTTGACATGCTGCTCGACCTGTCTATAGCCATGTTTGGCCAAAAGCATCTGGCCCTCGCGAGACGTAGGGTTCTTTCTATGCTTTGGTGTCTAGCTTGATCATGTACGGCCTGTAGTACTGATGCTATCAGGGCAGCCGGATGCAGCACCTGCTGCACGTTCTGACCGCATTCCACCAATACTCGGTGAAGTACATAGTCTACGGACCTCAAGCGGACCCAGTCGCGCAGCACCCTTCAGACCTCCTTGGGTTCCTGTTTCAGTTCTCGCACTGTAGGGGCTTGCTTCTTATCCCACCAGTGCCAGATCCTCCTAAGTGTTGGATCATCCCGTTGCAGCTTGCTTAGCTCTAGTCTGGGTATTTCAGGCTATGTGCCAGTAGTAGCAGGGACCGTCTGTCTGGACCGTGTGCTGATCTGCTGCATCCACTGGGCGCTACATAGTTGATAACGGCCTCCTTCAGGTCCTCTGGTAGGTTGATAGCTTGGAGATGCCGATCCAGACTGGCAGCAACTGGTTCTGCTGCGATTTCTTTAAAGCGTAAGCTAGCTGGCTCCTTGCCATGATTTCCCTTCCGGCTCAGGATGTCTGGTACGATATTAGCGCGTCCTGGCTTGCACCTCACGGTAAAGTGAAAGGAAGCCAACTCTGCTGCCCATCGCATTTCAGTGGCGTTCAGCTTGGACGTTGTTTGCAGGTAACACAAAGGGTTGTTATCAGTGTATACTGTGAACCGGGATCCCAGGAGCATGTCCTTGAACTTTTCTGTAATAGCCCACTTTAAGGCTAGCAGTTCAAGCTTCTTGCTGCTGTAATTGTCCATGTTTCGCGCTGCCTTCCGCAGCCCCCCCGGCTCGCATAGCGTATGACAGTTAGTTTTCTGTCAACTTCCTGGCATAGTACTGCACCCAAACCCTGGAGGCTTGCATCTGTCTCTACAATGAATGGCTGCGAGAAGTCAGGGTGCCCCAGAATGGGAGCAGAGATTAGCAACCTCTTCAGTTCTTCGAATGCCACCTGGCAGTTTTCAGTCCAGTCCACCGTGATGTTGCTTGAGGGATTTCTCCTTTTCTGGTGAGATTTGCTGGGTTCTCCTATCAGCGCATGCAGTGGTGCAGCCAGCTGTGAGAAGCCTTTCATGAACTGGCGGTAGTAACCCGAAAGGTCAAAGAACGCCCGAAGTTGACGTTCGGTCCGTGGGACCTCCCACTCCTGCATCAATCTAACCTTTTCTGGGTCAGGGGAAATACCCTCAGTGGACACCATGTGGCCTAAGTACCTGATGTGTTTCTTGGCCACACTACATTTATCTGGCTTTACCTTGAGATTATGCTTGTCGAGACGTGCTAACACTATATCCAGACGTTCGATCATCTGGTCGAACGATGACCCGAATACCAAAAGGTCGTTCAGATAGTTAATCAGTGTTTGGAAATTCTGATCTCCAAATATGCGGTCCATCAGCCGCATAAAAGTTGGAGCATTGCACAACCCCATCGGCATGCGACAGAAGTCATAAAGCCCTCCTGTGCCAGGTCTGAGAGCGGTATTGTGCCGGTCCTCCTCAGCCACTGATATCTGGTAGAAGCCGTGGGCCAGGTCTAGGCTGCAGAAGTACTTCCCACCCCTCAAAGCCCTGAGGGCATCATCGATGCGGTGTAAGGGGTAAGCATTCCGGGTTGTCTTGAGGTTTATCGCCCTGTAATCCTCACAGACCCGGACCTTCCCTGATGGTTTCCTCACCAACACCACTGGAGATGCGTAAGGACTGTTGGATTCACGGATAATGTCCCTCTCCAATGCCGACTTGATAAAGTCTTGCACTTCCTTTCATTGGTTTGGCGAAACACTCCTGTGAGCCACCCTCACTGGCTTATCATCTAAGGTGTGGATCCTGTGGGTGACTAGGTCACAGTAGCCTATGTCATCTTCGTCTCGGCTAAACACATGCTGATGCTGCCTGATTAGGGCGTTCAATACCTCATGCTGATCGTTTGTAAAGTCTCTCGCCTACGTCCATCCGGTTGATCGGGTTATGGGCTACGTCATTGGCCCGCCTTACACCAACTTCTTCTATCAGCACCTCATGGAGACTCACGGGATAGATCCTTAGCTTGGGGTTCAGCGTGACCGGTTCCACGATGCCCACAGGTGTCCGTGGATTCAGATAGAGGTCGCTGCCACTCCAGTTGGTTACCTGTATCGGGACGCGTCCTGAACGGCCTAGCCGGGAACAAGTCCTGCCCACAGCGAGGCCCGTAGGAAGGGCTGGTAGGATTTCCTCCTGGTGCTCTACCATTACGAAGTGCTCTTCTATGGCAGCCATGCACGTGCCCTCCAGTATCTTCACTGACCGGGCTGGTATCAGCTGTGGCCCTCTACCAGCCAACCTTACCCTGGAGGTGCTTGGTTCAGCGTGGTCAGCTTCTGCCTTAGTTTGGATTGCTCTATATAAGGCAAGGACATGAGCCCAGTGGCTCCCATCTACTTGGGTGGAGTCTGTCAAATCCTTAAGATAGGTCTCGCCCCACTTATCCTTGAGAGTTGTCCGCATTCTTCGCAGGATGTTACTCCCAATTACCCCCGGAACTAACCGCTTCCGATTCTCCATGGGGGTCCCGTTTGGGTCGCACACCACCAGGAATCCCATCCTGTGAAAGGTATGCCCGCAGATCTCAAGCCCTGGGCACCAGAAATGGAGATGAAATCGTACACATCCTTGGGATGCTCGCCGTTGCTCAGTTGCTCACGGAAGAATGATTCCGTTACCGTAGAAACCTGAGCTCCCTTGTCCAGCAAACATTTCATCTCCGCCCCAGCTATCTTAACTAGGGCCTCGGGGCACTCTCTTACTGCCTTTTCTAAAAGTAAGCCTACCCTGTCCGTTTCCACGGACTCACAGCCTGCCGCACAGCTCACGGCAACAGGCAATTTTAGTTTTCCCGACAAATTTGGCCTGGAACCCTGGGGTGGCCACACCGGCCCATTCCCCTTATCCGGGCAGTTCCTTTGAATATGGCCCGGGGACTGGCAACTCCAACGAAGCATGGGGCTGTTGTCAGCCCCATACTGGCGCCGTCGGCCCCTGTTGACAGGTCGACCCCCACTCGCCTGTTGCCGCAGCATATCCATCATGACAGACATTTGCTGCTGCTGCTGCTTTAATACTTCAGCTAACTGGTCGCCTTGTTGCTTGATAGCAGCCACCACTGGGTCGACAGCCTCAAAGGTGACCTTTTGGTCCATAGCAACACGGTGACGGCCCTTGTCACAGCTGGTGCCCAGCCACTGTATTGCCTGGTCCCTCAACTCGAAGTAGGTCAGGGCTGGGGACTCGAGGTTGAGGCCTTAATTCCCGTTGCAAGCCCTCCTCATGGACTGCCTCTGCTAGCCTCCCCTTCAGAGTGATGTCTCTGGAGGCCTCCCATGATCCATCCATAGCGGTGATCAGATTGCACAATCGGGTCAGCTCCGGTGAGCAGCTAAGCAGGTCTTGGCTCCCTTTCTGCTGGTACGAAAAGAATCGCTGCTGGAGCCTCGGCAGAGATTGGTGGTCCGCATCTCCGAAAGTCGCCAACAGGACTTCGAAGATCTTCTCAGCATCTTCGCTTACCCCTTGCCGACCCCTCACCTCCATGCGGGCCCTGCCTCCCAGGTGCTGGAAGACCACTGCCGCCCTGTCTTCCTGGGTGCCTTTATGGGTGGCTAATTGAGCCCGCATGTCTCCAACCCATTATTCAACATCCGGATCGCCCAACTTCTCCGGACGGTCCCGCAACCGTTCCACACGTCGGGAGGGAGCAGCATACCCCGGCCCACGCTGGCACACAGCCTTAAGTGTGGCCTCCACCCAGTTGGCCTTTGCTAACTCCTCCTCCAACATCCTCACCCGATCCTCCATTCTGCCACCAGCGGGACTCCGTGTGAGAATAGACCACGTAAATTAGTGACCCAAGGGCAATGGGAGGCTTGTACTCGAGAAGCTTCCTCAGTCTACAGTCTACACCATAAATCGCGCAATTTATTCATACAATACAAATATGTACAGAGTGAATTATTGTTTTCGACTAAATGCTACGCGGGCTATCTGACTAGCTAGTCGCCATGTCATCAGGCAGAATGCTGGCAACGGCCTGGTCGGCATGCGAGTCCATGTGTCCCTGCAGAGCCTTCAGCGTCACGTATGCCGCGCCACAGATCGTGCAGATGTTCGCTTTATAGATGTCTTCTCGTTTCTCTCGTCTCCCTCAGGGGTTTGTTCATCTCCTTGGTTCAATGGATGGCGTACTTGATAATCCTGTCGACTGCGCCATTTGTGAGGTCCGGAAAAAGACTCTAACAATCAAGTGCGGGGTAGACGATTTATTTGTAAACAAACAAAAAAAACCCAGGGAGCCAAGTACATGATCGGGCTAGATCATGCCACCGTAGAAATTACCAACTTCGCGGGCAACAAACTGCCCTGGGTCACACGATAACCTCGTAGATAACCTAGTTGACCGATAGAAATTACTAAGCAGCAGAATGCTTCCTTCTGCTCTCTATCTGATCCAGCATGGTGGCCTCGTGCTGCCATCTGTTTTCTGTAGTGCTGCCGTCTAGCTTTTCTCTCCTTTCGCCACTCGAGGGCAGCACCAAACAATCACAACAACCCTATGACAATTTGGCATGTCACTAACCTGTATGATACAGGCGGTATGTTCCGCTTCACTACACTAACCGCCTGTACGCAAGCTCAACCTGGGCGGTTCGCAAGCCTCGTTATCTATCGACCGGTTGTTATGGCGGGGAATCTGATTATAGCGGCGAGCAATCGAGCGTACAAAAGTAAATACGGCAAAACTTCGCCCCAGGCGAATACCTGATGAATGGAAACAATCTAGTTAATGGCTTTGGCAGAAGCGTGCACTAATTGCAGTTATAAATTCAACTTAAATAACTTGAGAAATGACGTCAGGCAAAAGCCTGCTCGCTGATTGGCTGATTGGCCCGTTACAGCACTCTGATTCGGCGCGATGATTTCTTCGTTCGCGAAGCGGGCGGAAGAAGCAAAGGGTACAGGCGGTTAGTGTAGTGAAGCGGAACCGGAACCGCCTGTATCATACAGGTTAGCATGTCACATACTCTATAATACTAACCGAGCCGTTTTATGAGATGGCAGTCTGTTTCCACACAAAAATGTGCGCGGAAAACTACACTTCATATTGCGGTTTCTCTATAGGAGGCATCTGGATTGACTTATTCCTGGTTTGTATAATATTTGACCCAAATGTCTAAATCACTAATATTGTTTATATTTTAGGATCGTGTTTATCAGTGTTATTATCTCGGTTTAGGGGTAGTGGATAATTTACGTCACCGATTTGGTTTATGCTTATTGGTACGTATTATGCGGCTTGTTTTATATGAACAAGGTAAGACAGCTAATCAATAATACTGCAATGGATCGTCAGAATAAAACGGGAAAAGTTTATTAATTTGACTAATACTGCAGCATGGTTTTAGCATTTTACCGTTGTACGCTCTCCTTCTTTATCTGCTCTTGTACGTATTATCCTGTTGACATCTATGTATAACGATTTGGACCATAAAGTGTTAAAAGAAAAATCTGTTAATGAATCAGTTTTCCTGGTGTTTTGTGGCACCAGTATAGCCTTTCTCCTTACACGTTGATCCCGCCATAGTGCTTTTGTGCGCTTCCGCGGTAAAATAAACAATAGTGGTTTAATGGGAGTCGCAGTTGTTTATGGTTAAAAAATGTAAGGTAATGTAGGAATTTAATCATTCCGACTTGAGTGATCATCTAACAGATATCTGGTTCGTAAATGACACCATGTATCACAACAATTTATGGGGTTTTGCACAGTTTGTAGGCGTTAGGAATTTATGCCACTTTAAATGTTTGAGCAATAGAAAAAACACACATTAGCGGTAAAATTAGTTGTTGTTGTTTCTCTCGAACTAATTATTGTGCTTAGCTTCTGACAGCAGTTGAATTTGTTGAACTTGATACAGTTTTAAACTAATATTGAAGTAATTTAAATATAAATTAATATTAGACAAAATTCTTTTACATATAATCAACGTGTCGATAATAAACAATGGTAATGGAATTTTTGGTGCGTATATACATAGACTATAAGATCATACTAAGATATTCTCAGTCTATGGTATATGTAAATATTACGCTATAATTCTCGTTTCTGCAGCCTCGCCATGTCAGGCAAAAGGAGGGCTGCTTACGACAGAATGCCAGCACGGGGGCTACTGGAATCCCAACAACTGTGACGTATGCATCTGTCCTGCTGGTCTGGCAGGCGATCGCTGTGAAACCGTTGCACCATCAGAAGGCAGTAAGGCATAGTATACTGACAGACATGGAGAAATTAAGAAATCGTACGGATTGTTACTTCCCACTCATCAGCCGGTGTGAAGATTCTAATGTTTCCACTAATAGATTGATATCGCACTCATCACTTCGAGCTTTCACCCCTGCAAAACCACAGCGGTAATGTATGGTGGTTAATTTTTATGTATGCATCTTTTTCTAGCGACAGAAGGCGGAATTTTGGACATTAGCTGCGGGGACGGTGTGCAGTCTTTTGTTGGAAAATTATCGGCTGATACAAACAAGCAAGAAGCATATTGGCTCCTGCGGGTAAATTCGTAGGTGATAGTTTCACATTATTATCATCATGATCATAAATCAGCAAGGATTACTTCCAAGAAAAATATAATTCACATGCAATTTTACTATTCCATCAACAATTCAATTATTCAACGCCTTATCGCTCGTTACGTATAGTGTGTTAATTCGATATATTGATGATATGTAACATGTAATTTCGGCTTGTGCGATGTTTTGTACCCCTAGGCACCGGCATCAGCGACCATCAGTTTTCAGCTTACTTCGATATCGTCTATCTGCTATAGTTTGGACCGTTTGACGTGTGAAACGAGATTGGGTTGTCCTGATTGGCTTGAAGTCAAATACCTGGATTTAGCAAAAGCGGGGCCATGGTAATTAAGCTTACGTCTTGACTGACATTGAACTATATACTACGTCTATCTGCGAGATAAAAACTATGAGCGTCACTAGTCACAATCGCGTGTAAGCTTTACTCGGATCGAATTCAAATCCGCAAAAGTGGATCCGGTGAATAGAATGATTTATATTTTGAAAACTGTTAATATTATAATTATATTATCTTATTAT